ATGCATCCCAAATCAACCATTTCTCAGTTAAAGAGATTGATCGGTAAGAAATTTAGGGAATCCGATGTTCAGAATGATCTGAGGTTGTTTCCTTTTGAAACTTCTGAAGATTCTGATGGTGGCATTCAGATTCGGCTTCGGTATATGGGTGAGATGCAGAGCTTCAGTCCAGTGCAGCTATTAGGCATGTTGCTTTCACATTTGAAGCAGATAGCGGAGAAGAGTCTCAAAACGCCTGTTTCAGATTGCGTCATTGGGATTCCTTCATACTTTACAAACGCACAAAGACTTGCCTATTTGGATGCTGCAGCTATTGCTGGCCTGAGGATATTGAGATTGATGCATGATTGTACTGCAACTGCGCTTGGATATGGTATATACAAGACAGACTTGGCGGCTAACTCGAGCCCTACTTGCATTGTATTTATCGACATTGGTCACTGCGATACACAAGTGTGTGTGGCATCATTTGAGTCTGGCAGCATGAGAGTCCGTTCTCACGCTTTTGATAGAAACTTGGGCGGGAGAGATTTTGATGAGGTTCTCTTCAACCATTTTGCTGCTGAATTTAAGGAGAAATATAGCATAGATGTATATACAAATATCAAGGCGTCTGTTAGGTTAAGGGCATCGTGTGAGAAAGTGAAGAAGGTCTTGAGTGCAAATGCTGAGGCACAGCTGAATATAGAATGTCTGATGGAGGAGAAGGATGTGAAGAGCTTCATCAAGAGAGAAGAGTTTGAGCAGTTGTCATCTGGCTTGTTGGAGAGATTAATTGTTCCTTGCCAAAAGGCATTGGCTGAATCTGGTCTAAGTTTGGATCAAATCAATTCTGTGGAGCTAGTTGGTTCAGGGTCCCGAATTCCTGCTATATCTAAGATGCTAAGCTCGTTGTTTAAGAGGGAGCTAGGCAGGACCGTGAATGCAAGTGAGTGTGTAGCTCGAGGATGTGCTCTTCAGTGTGCTATGCTCAGTCCAGTTTTTCGAGTTAGAGAGTATGAGGTACGGTGAAAGTCACTCTTTTCTTAGGTTTTGTTTCTCTTCAAGATTTATTTAGCACAAGAATTGATGTTTGCAATGGTTGTGGAGTATTCTGTGTGTATTAAAGCATGATGGCATTTACAGCTTTACAGGCTTATTTCCTATGTAATGGCTGATGTTTCTTTTGTTTATGCTTCCCCCACTTTCAGGTTCAAGATTCTTTCCCTTTCTCAATCGGCTTCTCATCTGATTTAGGTCCCATAAACACACCAACTAATGAAATGCTCTTTCCAAAAGGCCAAGTCTTTCCAAGTGTTAAGGTTCTTACCTTACGTAGGGAAAACACTTTTCATTTGGAAGCCTTTTATGGAAACTATAATGATATATCGCCAGACTTACCGACTCAGATAAGCCGTTTTATGGTATGCTATCTTTTAGGCTTCCCCTTTTTGGATATATGCATGCAGTCTTTAGAGCTCTGAGTACGAGTTGGATGGTTATGCCACTACTGTATTAGGCTCTGCATATATATGGAACTCATAGTCTGTTGTGTAATGTTTTGTAGATTGGTCCTTTCCAAATTTCTCATGGAGAAGCAGCTCGTGTCAAAGTAAGAGTTCAGCTAAATCTCCACGGGATCGTCACTATCGATTCAGCTTCTGTGAGTAGAATCCTATATCGATCCTTTACAGATAAGATAGCCTCTATGTTTTTCTACGTTCCTTTGGCCTAAACTTTCCATTTATGAACAACAGCTAATAGAAGATCATAAGGAGAATCTGACTTCCGAAGAGACAATATCCGAAAACAACCATCACTCTTCTGCGACAAAGAATGGCACTTCAGACCCTTCGTCAGGTTCAAGTGTAAGTATGATTTAACACCGTCTAAAGCGAAACTGTTGCATCATAGAAGGCTGCAAACGCAACATATAAAAAATGATCTTAAAGCATTGGCATCTCCATTCATTTTTTGAAACAATCAAATTATTGATCCATAACATTTTCCAACCATGCTAATCTGTGCAAAACCTGAGACTGAGATTAATTTTTCTTGTGTAGGGTAACCCGGCTAAGGCTATCAAAAGAATGGAAATTCCAGTTGTTGAGAATGCCTCTGGCGCATTGACAAAGGATGATTTAGTAAAGGCTAAACAGAGAGAGAACTCTTTAGTGGAGCAAGATCTGAAGATGGAATCGACAAAGGATAAGAAAAATGCTCTCGAATCCTATGTTTATGAGATGCGTGACAAGGTACTAATCTACCTTTAAGCTTGCACTTTTCGTTTCAGTAGTGTTTGCTTTCTCTTCAATATCTTATCACTTGCAAGAATTAACCTTGTGTATACTGGCAGATGCTAAATACATATCGGAACACTGTAACCGAGTCTGAACGGGAAGGCATCGCTAGAAATCTTCAAGAAACAGAAGAATGGCTTTACGAAGATGGTGATGATGAATCTGAAAATGCTTACATCGAGAAGTTAAATGATATCAAAAAGGTAACTCCCTCAAAGCTTTGAATATAAAGGTTAATGTCTGCAAATGACTTTCCATGTCCTAATTGATGACTTTCAAATCTGAGCAGCTCATTGATCCGATTGAACATCGGTTTAAAGAGGAAGAAGAGCGAGTACAAGCATCCAAAGATCTCCTGAAAACTATTGCAGATAATCGAACGGCTGCAGAGTCTCTTCCTCTTCCAAGAAAAAACGCGGTTTGTTTCTCAATTACTAACATAAGTCTCACTAAATTGGCAATAAATATTACTTATTGAGATGGATAAAGTTCGCATAGATGGGTTTGTTTCAAAATTACTATCATAATTCTCACTAAATTGGCAATAAATATTACTTATTGAGATGGATAAAGTTCGCGTAGATGGGCTTATATGTGTTAAACTATAGTACCATGGTATTCGTTTTCAGGTTCTCGATGAATGTCATAAAGCCGAGAGGTGGCTCCACGAGAGAACAACGGAACAAGAATCATTACCTAAAGACGCTAATCCGGAGCTGCAATCTGGTGAAATCAAGAGAAAAGCAGATGCTCTTAACGCGTAAATCTAATCTTTCCCTCTCTTATTAATACTCTTCAAAAGCTATATTGACAATGTCAACTACAAAAAAACTTTGATCATAAATGATGGAACCGGAATCGGGTTTTAACGGGTCGGGTCATGTTTTTTTAACTGATGGAAACCATGTGACTGGTGTTGCAGGACGTGTAAGTACATTGGGAAATCAAACTCTCCTCCTGCGAAATCAGAACATAATGGATCACATGCAAGTAGAAAATCAGATGATATGGAGCTTGACTGATT